CACTCCCGTGATTGGAGCAAGGCTCGCCCGATTGTTTCCTACACTCAGACAGTCAGCGCCCCACTCAGTCAGACCGTGGCTTCTGCCATCTATTGCCTCCTTCAAGTGGTCTTCCCTGACCTGACATCACTTTCGGACGTCCTTCCCCTTCTTCGTCACATCTGGAGATTACTGCAGCACTATGACTCCATGGACGACCTCGTGCTCTACCAACAGGACATCGCCGGTTTCTTCAACTTCGTTACACATCCTCGTATGATCTCCACAGTTGAGTTCTTGGTCGCGCGATACGCTGCTCTCCAAGGCTTGGACCTCCGAGATGACCCTGTCCTCAGTGTCGCTCAGCATCAGCAAGAACGTCTTCAACGCATCTTTCGTGGCCGTTGGCGCAAGACTCGCACCTACCATCCCTTACACCTTCGCGACCTACCGGAACTGGTCACTCACCTTCTGGCCTCTTCCTACTTCACGGTGGGACTCACTGTCTTCCGCCAATGCCAAGGAGCATCTATGGGCTCACCTCTTGCCCCTGCGCTATGCAGTGCTGTTGCACTTTTTCGAGAACATTGTTTCCTACGTTCCTTTCCCACTTCCTCACGGCGCTATGCCACGGGGCTGGCACTTCGGGCACGTTACGTCGACAATGTCTTCTTTCTTGGGCCGATGCATATGCTTCACACTGACTACTTCAAGGCTATCGCTCAACCCTTCTTTTATGGTCGACCACTGGAGATGGAGCACGTCACGGATGAGACCCTACTTGGCTTTGTTCTCTCCACATCTCAACGCACTATTACCTTTCAACAACCACAGCAATCGCACCAATGGATCTCCTCAGATGGCTCTAGCCGGTTTCTTCACCCGCGGAATCCTGATCTGCCGCTTGACTCGACCTCGTGAACTCATTTTTCCTCAACTCATCGATCTCACTCAGCAATATCTCGACAAGGACTTCACCATGGACCAGCTCTTACCACTTCTTCACCAACTTTGCCACCGTTTCCACCTACCTCGGCAACCACTTCACTCCCAATGTCGGTTTCTCACTTTCTCACCTGATGCAGCACATGGGACCAGTCTTCGCGACAAAATGTCAGCCGCTCTCACCTTTGTCTGGCACACTTGTTTCTCTTCCTTCCACCCCTGCTTTTCTCAGTGGCACTTTATCAAAATTTCATCCCCCTTCATTGTTAGGTTGGATGCTTTTAGGGGGCATCTTATACACTTTGGGCCCTATAAAATGTCTAGGGAGGGTGGATTTTCTATACAATGCCTAACTGAGTAAAAAGCATCCAAACTATAAAATGGGGAAGGTGGATTCTGAACATTGAGCAGTAAAAAATGCAAAAAGAAACAGCAGGCCTATATAATGCCCATGATGGGTTCACCATAGAAAATATACCAAAAAACACTATGCCTATATAATGCAACGCATGGGTGCAAGCACAAAGAAAAGACGAACGGCAAGCCACAATTTCCAAAACTATGAAATGCCAAGACAAAAGTCGCAGCACCTTTGTTCTCGCAGACGAATCTAAGTGATTCGTTACACCCTCACAGGACTTCTGCATCACTCTGGAATGCAGCGTAAACATCCTTGATCAAAAGGATGAGCTTCCGGCGATCTCCGTTTTTCAGAGATTGCACCACATTTTGGAGCTCATCAAACACCCTTCGCCCATAGTCTTCAGACTTTCGGGTGTTCGGAAAACGGTATTCAAAATACTTTGGAACCACCTGGAGGAAAGTCTTCAAGACATAGGTCTTGGGCAATCCCTTCAGGCAGCATGCGCCAGTCTTTGCATGGAACAGCTCAGTCTCACCATGGAACTTGATCTGGTCATGGTTGAGAGCATCAGCCACCACCTTCCGGATGTGCTTTCGCCCACTTTCATTGCGTCGAATGTCATCTGCAGTGGTTTGCAGCTCCTCTGGCTCTGGGATTGTCTTTGCTGCCGCCTTGGCTTTGCCCAAAGCAATTTTCTTGGACAAAGTCTTTTTGACCGCTTTGAATCCCTTGTTCTTGGATGATTTGGCAGCTAACGGCTTCTTCCTCTTCCTCCGGGTGAAAGGATTTGTGGGGATGCCCAAGTACTCTGCGCTCATCATCTTCTCAAGGACTTCAAAAGATTCCTGGGTCAAGCAAATTTTGCCACTGGAAATGGAAGACTCCGACACTGACACATCCAGGATTGCAATGATGTGTTCTGGGTAAAACCTCCAGAACGTATCTGTGGGCTTCAGGAGTCGTGGAGTGTCCTTGCAAAGATGGAGGAGGACGGCGCGAAATGACTTCACATTCTTGATTGGAATGTGAGATGCGCAAGGGCGCGGTTTCTGAGAAGCTGTCCATGTCGTCAAGACCAACGCCGGAGCTGGTGGATCCGCTTCTGAGTAGTAGAGAAGCACAACCTTTCCAATCCTGAGGACGCATCAGAGTTGAGCACCAAACAAACAACTCTATAGAATGCAGGGGCCAGCTATCTGCAACAAAACTATACTATGTGAACCTATCAAGGCATTTTATAAACAGGTCAAATTACGACTGGAGCATCATCTGGAAGCGAGGCAACAAGGCGATAAAACATGATAAAAGTATATAAAATGCAGGGGTCCAGTAAATGCAACAACGTAACAATATATAATCAATTATCACCCTGTCATTGCATTTTATAGACTGGTCATTGTATGACTGTAGTACCAGGAGCAAGAACCTACAAAGTGCAAAGGACAATACCCTAAAGCAAAACGAGCCGATATGACCTTACCAAGGCATTTTATAGAGTGGTTGTACTATGACTGCATCTCCGCTGTTGGTGGTAGAACCAGCTTATGAAATGCCAAATTTGCAGTGGGTATACGTCATATAAGTGGATACTGCCAGGTACAGCCATTTCATAAGTGGGTATATGCAGATAATTGCATATATAGGTGCCACCAAGCCTCTCAATTTGCTCTGGAACAGGTAGATTGGCTTTCTCTCTCAAAGCATCAGACGTTGCTATCCATTTCGACAGCCGTGATGCCCGTCTTCCATCCATGGTCTCGTCTGCCATGTCCCTCAATTCCTTGAAGTTGTGTTGTATAGTCCTTTGATGGGGACGGGAAAGAGGGGACACAAAAAAAATCAAAAAAGTAAAATTTTAAAAACATAAAATTAGAAAACAAAATCCCAAACACACCGATCAAAATAAAAGAGATGGGGCCCAAAACTATCCAAGAAGCTGATGCCAATTCAGGTTTGCTGATTGCTGCCTGATGAGCTCGCTTTTGCGGAGATAAATTCCATCCATGCCAGACTTTCCACAACGTAGAAATGCACATAGCTGCCACAACTTTGGCCAAAAGTCGCCTCCAACTCCAGCACTCTCAAAAGCCTGGTTCAATGTCTGAGGCGCTTTCTGGGCCCAACGCTCTGAGCTTGATTTGCCTTTCTCCTTCTCCTCTTTCACACTAGTCAAGCTCACCAAGAGCTTGCCATCTGGTAGAGATAGATCAGGGTCTGGCACCTTTTCAGGTTCATTGGCATCGGCCTGTGAAGATTCATAGGCCTTTGCCTTTGCACTGATGTGGTTCAACATTTGTGGGAGCTCCTGCACGGAAGCAAGCCTCTTGGACGCCATCTCTTCCAAGACATGCTCAAGTTGCTCATCTGAACCGTCCTCACCGTTCTCATCGTCAAAGAAATCCAGGCTGGCTTCCCTTCGGTAGAGGGATTCCAAGGAAGAGACTGAAAATGTGGAGCACGCAGACACCAAGTGCAAAGCTGATTTGAAGGCCCGTTCTGCACACTCTTGCAACCTCAGGCCCGAAAAAAAAAACAAACAAAATCTGTGCGACAGGTTATGTACACCTCACTTATTGGCGGTCAAAAAGAAAGGGATGAAAAAGGATGCAAAAAAGGTAATGTAAAACAAATCACAACAAGCAGCTGCTTGTCTGAAAGGGGAGGTTCCTCCACAGGTTTTGCCTTGCTGCTATCTGCCTGTTGTTTTTCTGCAGCTGTCCTGAAGGCAATCTGAGCATTCACTCGCCAGAAATCCGTCACGGTCAAGTCCGGGTTGGTATTGGCACAGCGATAGCGACCAAACATCCTTTCCAAGTGTATTTCCGATAACGGATGACCAGGACCAAACGGGTGCCAATCGGAGTCCTTTTCTTTGCAAATGACAGCAGTTGCCAAGGCCACGCTCTGCATGTTTTGACGAGTGCGGGCTGCAATCTGCATGGAACCTTTTGGTCGGCCGAGGTTCTTCTCTGCATCCGTAGCGACCACAGCCCAAAGATCCTGCAGGATGAACCCTGTCAAAGCCAGTTCGCTACGGGTAGCCAAGTCAAGCAGGTCGTGAACTGCAGGAGCCTTGCAAACAACCCCCAAACATGAACACACTCTCATCAAATAAAAACATACAACACCATTAAAAAACATTAAAAAACACAGAACTAGTAGAACATGGACAGCAAACAAAGGCCTCACATTGCAAACTAGTTTCAATGCACAGCGCCGTCGTGAGATTCCACAAAAGGAAGCCCTTCAAATGCCAGGGAATACAAATAGTGTCCCAGCTGGTGGCAGCTGCATCCTTGGCAAATCACGGCATCTCAATCAAAGTGCCATACGCTAAACTACTACAGTATGTGTTTTTCATAGTATATCTGATTATGGAATGCCCCAAGCTCTACTGTTTACCTGGATTGGCTAGTCAAAGAAAGAAATCGCATTTCATAATCTTGTAATATCTTTTAAAATTTTTTATAATCCTGACCTTGGCCTACCATGGGCTGTTTATGAAATGCAGCCCCAAGAATTTTGGTTTAACATGGATTGTGAACATCTGCGCCAGGCATTTTATAGTTTCAATATGGTTCAATGGTTCAAAAATCAAAAAATATATATATATATATAGATGTAGAAACAGCAAAACGACATGAAACGTAAAATAAAAAGACATTGATTGAACTTGAATGAAATTGAAAAACAATGAAAAAACAAACAACCTTCAGCACTGATACCAGGGAGCTCGCTGATCCAGGATGTAGAAAGGATTCCCAAACAGACTTGCCAGCCTGTCACTCATCGGGTCTTTCCTTGTGTACGCTGGAACAGGCATTCCTCGATCCAAAGCAAATGCAGCATCACACCAAAAGCGCCCAAAGTATGGGCATCTCACTTCAGACATGACTTGCCCATTGCTGTTCTTGTTGCTGTGCGCCGGCCCTGGCAACACAAACAAAGTCCTGCCTCGTAGAGAGCAAACCTTGACTGGCATGCGTGGCAATTGCTGCAGAGCTTCAATCTTGGAGAAGGTGAGATCTGCAAAGAATTTGGTCTCATGGAACCTGCGGCGGTATTTGGCCTCCAATTGGCCAAAAATGGCCTTCTTGACCAGGCCGTTGCAGCCTTCATCGTCACAAATAATCACTTTGCAATGTTCGCTTGCAGCGTCCAGGAAAAGGTCAACCATTTTGAACACTTCCTCAATCGTCAAAGATGAGAAACATGGACACACAAACACAATATATTTCCATATATTTCCAACGTACTACAACAAACCCCAAACCCCAAAAAATGCACAATATATGACTGAACAGTCCAGTGTCCCAAGAACTGTCTGATTCTTTGGAGTTCAGCCATGCCAGAGAGACTGGAAGAGAAGCTGGACACCAACGTTCTTTGGAAGGGCTGGCTGGGTCCCACATCAGAAACTCCAACCTAGGCTGAGCAGTCTGCAATCCTATTACTGCATATAAAAAACCAACTAGAACTTGTATAATAGGTGTTCAATGTTCCCACAAAAGATTCTGGCATTTTATAGACACAAAGGATTTCTTGATTATTGCTTATTTTATACATAGACAAGTCTATAAAAGGTGGTCTGAGCGTGCTATTCCTCAGTCTCCCTGTTTCAACAAGCTGGAGGCATTTTATAAACTCTTCTCTGATGAGCTGAGATACAAACAATTGGCTTTTGTGTTGTCCTCCAACACCACTTCATCCTCAATCTTGAGGAAGCTAAGAGGTGACTCTTCCGAGATGTGCTTTGTGTGGAAGGGAGCCCCAACGAGGTGGTGCTTACCATGCAAAAGCATAGGCACATGCATCGGCAGAACATATGTAAAATCGAAGGCCACTACAAAGCGCTGCATGCTTTTGCCCATCTTCGGAATTCGGCTGCTGATGATGTTAAGGTTCTCAGCAAGAACTTCCGGGAACAGCAGCGACAAAGCTGGACAAGGAAGGCTGTGTTCCAGGAGTTGGTGAACCCGACCACAGTTGTGACGGGCACTTGCGCGATTGAAGCCCAAAATCTTCATCAACTTGGCGTTGGCTCCATTGATGGAGAGTAACGCTGCAGCATCTGCGACCATTTCCCTTTCTTGTTCAGACATGTTGCGAGGCCGTTTCATAGTGTTGATGCCTCTTTCGGACCGATCTAGCTGTTCTATGCACTGCAAGATGATTCCCACTATGGCTGGGTTTCCAGCGAGCTTGCCTGAACACGAAGCCTTGGCTATGCGGACTGCAATAGACTGCACGTCTGAGAGATCATGTGAAGCCAGGCTACTGGCAAACTGCTGTGCCAGACCCTTCAACTCTCCTGTGCACTCTGCTACGTTCACCCGCAAACAAGGCATCACCACTGTTTCCATAAAGGCTGCAAAAGTCTCAGTCCAAGTGTTGTGGGAAATCTTTGTGAATGATTGACGCACCCATTTCTGCAAGGATAACTCATCCAGTTTCAGTATCTTGGACACCTGTTCACCACACCTTTTGTAGAGAACAGTCTCTTTGAACTCGTTGATTACATCATCCAATGCAGCTTGCGACTTGAACAGCTTGGCTTGCAAGATCTTGGCCCCCCAATACTTGTTTGCAAATTTGATGCAGCATTTCAAAGCTGAACTGGCTGTATTGGGATCTAGGCATTTGCTGCAAACAGCTGGGTTGCCGTCCTCAGGAGGTAGCACCAACTTCTCACACTCGCTGTGCCTGACCACAAGGTTTTGCGTTGCCATATCCAATGTATAAGTGTGCTTTTTGAGCGCAGTGGCTAGCTTCATGTTCTTCGCCCAAAGCAGCATCTCACTTGAAAATAGCGAGCACTTGTATGCACAATCAGTCAAACATAGCCCGACACATGGAACAAAGTTGTGGAAACCATTGTCATCTGCCACTGGTGCTGCAGTTTCCCCACGTTGCTCCCGAATGTATCTGGAAGTGTTTGACACATGTGTGATGCCCCTGCAATGTTGCGAGCAAAAAAATTGAATGCTTTCAGCCTTCCACTTGGAACCTTCAAAAATCTTTCCGTTTGGCTGAGACTGCGATGTACACGCCCAACACCTGATGGGGTACCTCTTGCCGAAGGTGTTGGGCTTGAGCATTTCCAGCACTTTGTACTTGCGGATGATGTTGTGAATCAAGGGAGTTTGGTCCTCCTGGCTTCTTTGCTCTTCTTCAACCTGCCAGCATCTATAAAATGCCATGCAAGGGGTTCTGCAGGGAACTGGTTGAACCTTTTTTTACACCAAAGCATCTCATATACTGAGACTTTGATATGGTACAACATGGGTTCCTAGAAACGTGCCAAAGATTCAAACCTATAAAATGAGACAACACCAAAATCTGTTGACTACCAGGTGCAGAACATGCAAACCCACCAAAATATAAACAGTCACTACAGTATCCAACATCAGTAGAGGCACAGATTGTGTTGGAAGGTCTTCTTCAGGTGCATCTCCTGAAGCCAAAGGATTCCCTGTGTAAGGCACAATCTGTAGCTGGTCAGGATCAAGCGCTTCTACATCTACAGGTGGAAGAGGCTCTGTGACAGAAGGTTGCGTAATCTCTGGAGCCAAAGGTTTGATATCCTGCATTTCCATCTGCAGCATTCTGTTTGGCGACATGAAAATGCCACCTTCTTCTGAGGGCGTGGTATGCTTCTGAAATTCTTCCGCTGAAAAGCCGGCTTTTTTCAGCATCACAGCACACACACTGCATGGTACTTCCTTTCCCTCCAAAAGAAGTGCTGGCAACAAGGCGAAGGTGTTGCATTTTCCTGAGTTGCTGACAGCCTCAGCGCTATCGGCACTCTTGTGGCGTACAGAGGCATGAAATGCCTGGCAGTAGGCCCATGTGATCCTCAACTTCCCCAAGTAGCCCCTTGCAGCCAGCAACCTCATAGACTCCTCACACGGTGGCTTCTTGTGGAACCGCCGGTTTCTCTTTGCTCTCTTCTTCTTCTTCTGGGTTGTCTCTGCCTGTTCTTCATCTTCAGCCTCATTGGATGGATCTTTTTCTTCTGCAGGTGTCTTTGTCTGATCTTCACTCTGCCCAAAAAAGATCGCCTGATTCTCTGCCAACTTCTTTCGGAGATTCTGCGTCCTCTCCTCTGCAGCAGCAACAGCGCTTTTCTTGCCAAGCACGACTCCATCAAGGCTTGTGTCTCTTTTACGACGGGTGCCACATGCTGCGCCCACTGTAATCTTTGGTGGAGTCGTCAAATCCACAAAAATTGTTGGATTCGGCTTTTTCCGCTTTGGAGTCTTTGCTTCCAGCTTCGCCCTGTCACCCTCCTGGTTAGCCTGCACCGGCTGCGCTGGCCCTGAGCTGGCACTCTCTTGATCCTTTTTCTGGGCAGTATCTTGGCAAGCTTTGGCTTTGGCAGGTTTTGCCGACTTGCTGACTTTCTCTGAGTCCTGACTCTCTTTCTTGACAGCAGGTCCAGGTTCACTTCGTGGCTTATCAGGCAAAGAACCATCTGAATTGCTATCCGAGTCAGCACCATCATCAAACAGTGCCACTAACCGCATGAAGAGAGATTGCCAAAAAGAGTCTTTGGCAAGGTCCTCCCACTCTTGTGCAACAAGTTGGCGCATACGTCTGCATTCTTCTGTGAGAGATTCCATGTCTGACATGGTGCTTTCAGGATTGTTATTGGTCAGCGTCAGGGTTGACCAAATTCCACAATTCCCGTCTGCAGGAACTTCAAAAGGGATCCATGAGTCACACCATTCCATCATGGCCCATAAGTTTTTTTTCTTCTCCAGCTCTGCAATGGCGTGCTCTCGTTGAGAACCATCAAGGAATCCTGCCCAGCCCTTTTTGCCCTTCTTGTCGTTCTTCTTCTCGGATTTCACAGACTTCTTTGCCAGTGTTTCAAGTGTTTTCACTTCCTGCTTGAGGAGTAGCATAGCTTGTTTCTGAAGATCAGCTGACACAGAAGACTTCTTCCATGCTGGAACAAAATGGTTCAGACCTAAGCTGTCATTTCACGAATTGAAAAAACTACTGTATTGTAAAATACACACTGTAAATCAATTAGGCAGTAGTCTTGGGACAGGACGGTTCACTGGAGCTGCTTCGTAGTTTGGATTGCAAAGAACGACAGCCCATGGGTCACCCTCATATTTCGTTTTGGGAGGCTGTAGGTCAGGCAGCATCTCTTTGACAGCTTCCCAGCAATTGCAAGGTGAAAGCTTGGTACCATCGTATGTCAGGAGGAAAAGCTCCTGCGCTGCACGATACAGTATCAAAAAAAACATCATAGAGCTAGATGAGCTACACCGACACCCACCCTAGCAGAAGCATGTAAACTACTAATAACAGGACAGTGTGCACCTTGCGTTGTACTTCAGCGTGCATGATCAAATCCATCAGGTCCACGAAAACAGTCACCACGGATCTCGTTTGCCCGCTTTACCTGATGAAAACTTTGGATACAGTATATACATGTAACGTCCATTGATAGAAAACATGCAACACAGTCTTGGCTTCTAGCCATAGCTTCAGCTGCAGATTCTTTGGTGCCCGTCCATCTGAAATGACAGCAGGACCTGATACGCAATGACTACATACACTCCATATGTTTCCTATTGCGCCTTGCCTGAACCAAACTCGCCATCAATACCTGCGTCAAAACGGCCATGAGAAACTATAAAATCCTCCATGAAATTCTCATGATCGGGCTGGACACCCCATTTTATAGCAATAAAGTGGCTTTCCCAAACCTTCTGGCTCTATTATGGCTCTATTTTACAGATATGAAGCCTCCTCTAAAGATACCATAAAACACACAGTCATGAAGCACTTCTGCCTGCCTGCTTGCTTTGGGCTTTTCTTTATGGCAACTTTTCCTGACCATGTGGAACTGGAAGGCCTAGTCCTAGTGGTCTATGTAGTTCACAAACGTACCTGAGCTGTGTCCTCATCCAAAAAACTCTATATATATATATATAACTACATATATACATATATATAGATTGAATAGACAGAGGCCCAAGATACACAAGGAAGACTGCTAGTGTATAAAATGGGGGGGGCAGCTGCCAGGCCCCCAACCTCAGCAACCACCTACCAGTGGCATTATATATACTCCCATTGTGTGAGGTATGCTGGGGTTGCCTGATATTGCC